ATTTCAATACTGTTTGCAATTGTTGTCTTATATTTATTAGCGGACCCAGAATGTGACGAGGTTCTGTATAACACTCACTGTATAAACACTCACTTCTTTATACTAACTATATATATATATAAACTATTTAACTGTTCGACTAGAAGTAATTATAATTCGACTATCTACTTTCGAAGCAACATCCGAAGCTACTTTCGAAGCAGCAAGAGCTGGCACTCCCTCGCTTTCCTGTTACTTCCTTTCTAATCAGCAATCCTTCGTTGAATTCCCTAACTCATTACGCTCGCTTATTATTTGAACTCTCGCGACAACATCTACCTAATTTAGCGAGCTGCAAATTTCTTTATCGCTATATTTCCGGTTCTATTACGCGAATATCAGACACAGAAACGGACACGCGACGTTACGTAATTAATTCCAATATTTCCAATAAAGTCAAATGCAGCAGACAGGACGTTCAAGGGGGTTGGGGATGGGAGTTACATTTAATTCATTGTGTTTTCGGATAAACGGAGAGAGAATCGGAAACCAGAGGTCAACCACTCCAGGCACGCTGGGACGTCGTGGCGGCAGCACGACCGACCTTTCGTCCCCAATATCCGTAACGTTCTCGGGTAAGAGCGCGGTGTTCAATAAAGTTGAGAACGATACGCGAAGCCGAATCATTTACCACGCCTTACCTTCCCCTTTCTTTATTATGAACGCGAGATCGGGGCGACTTAGAACCCCCCGGCAGACGATCGCGCTTGTACGTTATTTAGAAGGTGTATCGCTCGATGATTCGGAGAAGGCTGCGCACCGCTCGATGATTCGGAGAAGGCAATGACATCGATGACGACGACTCGTTTCACTCAGTTCGGTCAACGTCGCGTTTCAAACGGGGGGGGAGGGGAGGTCGCGTCCTCGACCCTCGTGTACTTTTTCGTCTCCCCGTAGTAGACGGCGAGGGTGCGCGAGGGCTTCGTACGAGGGCGGAGAAACGCAGCTGCGACAGCAGGGAGCGATTCTGCGAATGACGACATTCGAAAATTGGAAATAACTTCGCGCAAAAGTGCAGATGAAATCAGTGCTGTTAACAATCATGTATTCACTTGTTATCGATCTTATAAAACTGGGGTTATTATTGATATATTATTGTAAATTAATAATAATATATTTAATTGAACACGTTGTGGCAAAAGTTAATTTTGCTCAAGAATAGACATGAATATGACGAGATCGAGCTCTTGATTATTCATTATAAATGTTATAATCTAAATATTAAAATTGCACCGACCCCATACATTAAGCAGAATGTACTTAGCTTTCTCATTTGCGCTTCGTTACGTCGATTCGCTGGTTTTCCACATGTACTCGGCATACATATATCTTCCCCTAAAATACATATTCTGCAAAAATAATTTTCATGTTTTAATAATCAGTTAATTTTCACAATTACAGACGTTACTGCTTTCATTAATGAACACTTAAATATTCAGGTGAGAAATTGAGGGAAAACCCGACGTGCTCGGGTCGCATTGAAACTCAACGGTTTATAACAGCAGCTTATATCAACACATAATCAACAGATTATAAACATTTTTTAGTATAGTTCTTTATTCGGCGTCTCGACACTTGATTTTGCGACGTCCACGCCGTTCAGGATCGTCCAAGTCTACACGTTCGATGCGGTGAGGCCGCGTCGCGGCGGATTCTCCGCATTGTCGGCGACGCCCATGAAATCACGCGGCCGAAGACGACGGTTCCTCATTGCATATTAATGAATCTTCCCCGGATGAACGCTAATTATATAATGGCAGCAGTTTCGACGCTACGTTCGCGGTCGGCACCTTGACAAATAGGAATTGCGAACGTGTAAACGGACGTTTATCCATGAAACTTGTATTTCCTACAAAGGAAATGACATATCGGCAAGATAAGCCAAGTATCAATAATTCCTGAAAAAATTGTGTTAAAATATTGCACCACAATTGATACATACATAACACACACGATACAACACATAAATACCGAAACCTGACACTCTCGACACAATAAATTATCGGGTGTCATCGTCGGTGAGATCAGCGATCTTTTTTCTACTCCTTTTCTCCTCTTTTCCCTTTTTTTTCTTTAAGAATCGTTGACAAACAGACCGACAGAGCCGATGCGACAGGGCTCGCCGGTGAGGGAGGCTTCGCGATAAATTCACGATCCGGCGCGATGATCGAGCGAACGATAATTTCGGCGAGCCGGAACGAATGGCTCGCAATTAAGATGTTAAACAAACGCGAGCGCCAATGGGTTATTAATTAGCCGCTATTCATTCGGGCGATCGCGTTTCCTCCATGAATTCGGAATGAGATCGCGTCGTCCTTGTTTCCGTTCCCCCTGGTCTCCCTTGACCGGGGATGAGACTGCCCTCGTCCGATTCGGAGGATTCCACGGCATATATATATATATATATATACATATCTCACGGAGGAGGGGAGGGGGGACGGCTGGTTCTGACGAATGCAAAGACGGAGGAGCGCGCAGGATGAAAGGAGAAATTGACGGGCCGCGCGCTCGCCAGAGAGTTCGCGAACTTCTTCTCGCGATTAACCCGCTCCACCCGTCCTCTTTCTCCTTCTTCCTCATCCACCACCACCTCCTGCCCTTTCTCCTCCTCTTCCTCCGGTTCTTCCTTCCGCCGCGAATTTCTTTCGCGCTCGGGTCCGCCGTACAATCAGGTGCATTTCAACGGGGGAGCGGCGACCTGCGAGAGGCGACCTCGGGCGGCGAGCTGAAACGCAACCATCGATCTTCTCTCATGTCTCGGCAGACCTTTCAGGTTTATTGCAGCGTAAACAGGACCTCCGAAAGGATCATTTACTCGCGCACACCGTGAAAGGCGCTCGCTCGTTCTCGCGCGCGCGCTCTCTCGTGTATCCACTCTTGCTCTCGCGCGTTCGCGCGGCGCGCGTCGGTGATTTACTTGCGACATGGCGCATTTATTGCGGGAAATTCTACCCTCGCGCATCGGGCGCGGTTAATTCGATCAGGAGACACGCGCGGGCCCCGTAATTAGTTTATTCGGAAACGGTATACGCGAAGTGTCCGGTATGAATTTAAATTCCCGGCGTAAATGTGTCGCCTCGCACAGCGATACTCGTCGTCCTACACACACATACACACACACGTACACATGAGCGACACACAAACGCTCGTTTGCCAATGCTGTTTAATGGACACGCGCACACAGCGCGAGAGAGAGAGAGAGAGGGAGGGGGATGGTGAGAGTGGGAAGAGAGTACGTAGGTGCAATAATAATTAAAGTTATTTCTATTCCCGACGAAGAGTCAGGATCTAAATTGAGAGCGTAGCGAGTGACGAGTAATTACGGTCGAGTTCATCGGGCGCGGCGAACGACGGCTGCCGACGACCGTGCAGCCGGATGCGGATAAAACCGATAAAAATGCACCGGGGCCGGTAATGACGGCGGCTCTCAAGATTATTTCGCGTTAGTTTTAATTCGCCGTAATGCCGCGCGCGCTCGAACGAACGAACGAATGAATGAAACGAGCGAACGACACTCGGTCGCTCTCGCCGGCGAATTTGGTTTAATTAAAATTGATAACCCCTCGAATGGGTATTACGCGGCGGCTCCGTCGGGGGATCGAACGCGCTCAACCCTTGCGTAACTCGCGGGATCGCGACGAGCGAGTTATGTGTCTTCCCGCTGGCGTTGCCCGAGAGGCCGCCGCCGCATCGACCACGTAACGTTTTACGCCACGCACTTACGCAAGCTACGCGCAATCACGCGCGCTGCGATACGACCGGCGACTGCCGCTGTTCATCCTACTTTCTTGTATTACGCCGGGGTCGTCGGGCGGGACGATAAATAATCGAGGATATCGTTCCCCGTACACGATACTCACTTCATGTAAGTTATGTTCGCGCGTATTTCCGGGAAATAAAAGCCGCGAACAATGGCTCCTCCGGATCCCTCTCGACCCTCCCCATTCCTCCGACCGGTACATCGGACGGACGGAGTCGTGTCCATTGTATCTGCGGCGTTATGTTAACCGCGAAATTTGCCGCTCTGGAGACAATAGCGCCGAGCGGAGAGATGAGAACGGATGTCCCGGCTTGATTGGACCGAACATTCGCGCGAACGAGCGAGCGAGCGGGCGAAGGAATCTTATTTTTCTTTATTTAACCTCCGAGAGAGAGAGAGAGAGAGAGCGCTCGGCGAGATGACGCTCTTTTCGCGCACGGATCACACATAAACACGGACGGTCTGCGTAGGGCCGGCCGGCGGGCCTCCGAAAACGGGAGGATTGAAACAGGGAAAAGGGAAAGAAGTGGAAGAAAACGTCAATTAATTACGATTAACTATCGCGGGGCGAGCGTCCGAAAACAGGCGGAAACGGATACTTTAAACAAAAGCAGGGGCCGGGGCATTGTATCCGATCGCGAATAGACAGGCGAGCAAAACGGCGGTACAGGCGGGCCTGCAAATAGACAAACGGATCGCCAGATAGGTAGTTTGATAGAATATCGATAGCGGCCGAAAGAGAGAGGGATCTCGCTCGGAAACCGGGAAGGGAATACATCGCGACAAGACCGCCCGCTACGTGGCAAGAGTGCGTTCATCCCGCGAGAGTGCATACACACACACAGCCAGCCGGAAAGGGGTGCGACGGGACGTCGCGGGGCATCGCGGGGCCCGCTCGACGTTGTCGGGGGCGGCTCGGGGTTGTTCGGAATCTATCGGTGGACCAGATTTTACTCGTACGTACGCACATTCACCCCCGCAGCGCGGCGCCGTCGGGGGTGCGTGTCGGTTCGGTGTGTGTGTGTGTGTGTGAGCATCAGCGTATGCGGGTGTATCCGCCTCGGTAGGCGCGTGAGTGTGTGTAAGACACAGCTTCGGCAACGAGGGTGGCGCAAGCGCGGCGCTCGCGCTCGCGCACTCGCGCGCTCCGTCGTCGTCGTCGTCGTCGTCGTTCTCGCGAGGAAATTGATTCTGCGCGAAACGACGGGGGTAGAGCAGCGGAGCCGTGCACCACCACCAGAGAGGAGCCGGGCTCGGCGGGCCGCGCATACTCTAGCGGGTAATATTCGCGAGTCGTCCGCGTTCCGCACGCACTACGTCGTCCGCTGTCGGCGACCCCGATCTATCGGCGTATTATGTAAGGGGGATGTTGCAATCATCATCATCGTTCCTCCACGTCGCGGTGCACGCGCCTCGTCTAATTGGCCGCCGCTGCTGTCACAGTCGCTGAAGAGCCGCGGGAGAGTCGCACGGAGCTCGCACGGAGAGGCGCCTCTCCGACATGCGAAGAGACGCGTCCGTCGCTACGACGAACTACCACGACGACCGGCGAGGAGGTTCAGCAGCCCCAGTGAGACGCCCGTCCGACGACGAGCGACAGGAGCATCCATGGAACTGAAAATCCTGCTGTGGGCTCACATCGTGGGTGAGTTGCCTCTCGCGACGCTGAGCGCGACACACGCGACCATCACCACCCTGACGACCCTCGTCGTCTCTCTCTCTCTCTCTCTCTGCTCCTTCGACATCTCAACACGTACGCGTTACGTACGCGTAACACAACGATCTCCCTGCCGCGGCGATTTCGCTCCAACGCTGCGCGCCCCTGCAATCGGCCCATCGTCGTTGTCGAGCGCGCGACACGCACGCACCCCGGGCCATTCTCCAGACGCTTTCGTGTCTGAAATCGCGTGTCTTCCCGCTATGCTCCACGCTTTACACGTTCATTGCACCCGATAGACGGTATCCGGTATAGATCCATCCTTGCAACCGTCCCGACCGGCTATGTGTGCTCGCGCGTCCCTTTGTGTCTGTGTGCGTGTACACACTGCCGAGCGGTTGCTGCACCCCATGGCTGTCGAATAAATGTGGACACATCGTGTGAGCCGTCCTTCTACCGAGACCGAGAGAGAGAGAGAGAGAAATATACGATTATCTCGCGTGATCGCGGGCGTCACGATCGTCACCGACGCGTAAAAATTGTCGTCGTTGCGAAATGCGCGATAGATTAAATAGCACTTGGTACAGAAGCGCGCCGCGTTCGGTAAACAACGTGTTCGCGCGAGCTCTCCCGCATCTGCGTGACGCGAGCTTCGACCTTTGAGATAAATTATTATTACGAAGCGCGCGAGCTCGATGAATTCGTTATATTAATGTGGATTAAATGAGGAAACGCGCAGGTATCAGGCGAGATCAAATTTATCGTCGCGCGTCGAATCGCACCGACGGTGGCCGCCGCGAACCGTGAGCGAGCGAGCAAGTAAACGAACGAAAAAGAAAGAGACAGATAGAGAGAGAGAGAGAGAGAGAGAGAAGGGAAAGAAAGAGAGATACGAGTACGTCCTTGCCGTTAATTTATTCCCCCGCGGAAACGCACGCTCGAGCGCACCCGGTCGGACGATTTTTCACGATATCAGAAACTTTCCCCATTACACGCATTAGCATAAAGTATATGTATATACGTGTGTATATATATATATATATATATATACACATACACGCACTCGCGAACTGTGATACGCGCGGAGATTGCGAAACGTCGCTGCAACGCGATACATCGTCGGGCGCGTCTGACGTCGAGCCGTCGGATTTCCCGGACGACGACGACGACGCGCTAGACGGATCTCGTCGTTCTTCTCGCGTACGTATGAAACGTACCGAAAGGGCGTTGCTTCGTTCGCGTAGGAGGGAACGAGGCGCAAAAAATTGTCAGCGGACGTGGGAGGCGCACGTCGGGGATGAGATGAGAGGAAAGGATCTCCGCGAGAACGTTGAATCAGCGATTGAGAGGAGGACCGCTCGGTCGGGCTGGCGAAACGACAACGACGACGGGTCGTTGGCCGTTCGCCGTAAAACGCGCGGGCGTGTTCCCCGTAATAGGGCATTAACAAATTTAACGAATCCCCCCAGATATAATCGCATTAACGGCATTCCGGCGAATGCAATTTTACGACGCGCCGGTTCGACCGACCCTCGCCGCCATGGACGGATTCGCGCCTCGCGCTGATAGACCGTCTTGTCGTTTTGTTCTCTCTCTCTCTCTCTCTCTCCTCCTGCTTTCTCTCGTTGACGTCTTCTTCTCCGACGTCGGCGAACGATCACCAAATATTCGATTACCCCGGAAGTTCGCCGCGTAACCGCGTAATCCGATTCCTCCGGCGCGACGAATCTCCCGTCTCCGCGAGGAGACGGCGGACGAATCGCGTGTGACCAGGACGACGCTCTCTCTTTTTCTTCTTCGCTCTCCCTCGCCGTCGCAGCCACGAGTCGATTCTATGCGCTGCCCCTCTTTCTCGAGTTATATATATATATAATTTTTTTCTTCGAGCACGGATTTTCCGCCGATTCAGAAGTCCCGACTGCCGCGGGATTAACTTTCCCGTGCGATAAACTTCCTCGACGCGACAGCGGTCGGTCGCGCGCGGCGTGTAATTTACTCCCTTTCGCGTCAGCCGGAGACTTCTTCGCCGTGCGACGTCGTTGGAATTATCAATAAGACCCGCTTCTCTCAGCTAATTAAACGAAGTTCGTAATAATCACCGGGACATTATGCTCGCGTTCTCTCTCTCTCTCTCTCTCGATACTGATAAGAAAACTTGTGTCGCGCACGGCGAGTGCAACGAGCCGGAGATTAAACTTCCCCGCGGACGCGGATCTCGATGCCCGAAAACACGCGCAGACGTTGCTTCGTTCGGCTTGTAATAAAAGCTCACCTCGTGCGGGTAAAACGCCTCACACACGCACATACACATTCTCCCTTTCTTTCTCTCGTGTTCATGTAGTATCGAGAATTAAATTCGCTGAAATTATAGCACTTTCGATCCTTGTAACAAATAATGACGATTGATAAACGGGGTGTAAAATACACCCCACGCGACCATTCGCGTCACGGAAACTCGAGAGAGCAGAGAGAAAGAGAGAGAGAGAGAGAGAGTAAGCGCGCGCCTGACGTTAACAAACGTCTCGTTTGAGAGCGCGTCGATTTCCCTCCTTCTTACACGGCATTACGAGCTTTCGAACGGGACCCGATATTAATTGAGATATTTCCCCTTAACGCACGTCACGTGGAAATCCACCCCGCTGAAAGAGAAGAGACCGAGTCATCCGCTCCCCCACACACGCGCGACTCTCATTCTTTTCTTTCCCCCTCTTCGAGGAGGTGGAACGTAACTTCGTCGTTATCTGCACGAGTCGTTTATAACGGAGATAACGCGACGGTGGCGGCGACGGTACCGCGATTGTTCTGTTATTACGGTATCCCGACCTATCCCAGTCGACCAAAAATAGCGGCCTCGGATAACGTTTCCGTTCCGGGGAAATCCCACGACGAGATCTCACGAAGCGCACGCAACCTGCGTACGTGCTGCTGGTACAGCACGTCGCCGGCAGTGCGTCGGGCCTTTGCCGTTGGACACGAGAGAGGGAGAGAGAGGGGGAGAGAGTGGGGTGGAGATAAGCGGGCCCCATTGGATCGCACGGGGGCTTGCGAAGCGTCGAAACGCGCGATACGGGCTCTCCTGTATGGGAACGACGACGTTTCCCGGATTCGCCCCCTTTCGCCGGCATGCCACTTCGCTTCAGCGGCTAATTAAACCGATCGTTCCAGCGAACGTCATATCCGGATCCTGCGGATCCTCGTCCGATTGTCCGATCGGTCGGGATCACATTCATTGCGCCAGGAGCCCGTTAAACCGAGCGTATCGTTGTTAGTGTAAGCGAATTAAGCCGCTCTCGCTATCGTCGTATCGACGGATATTCCGATTGCGAGAGCGTTCTCTCTCTCTCTCTCTCTCTAACTCTCTCTCAATGGCGCAGCACGGTATTACCTATCCTCCCCCGCTGCCAGTCGTGCGTCTTTTCGCCAATTCGGACGCACATCGGAACGGAAACGGAATCGCGACACCGGCCACGATTGTTTGCGGGACCGCTTTGTTGTTTTTCCACGTACAAAGTGTAACGCGACGTCCGACCGCTGGGGTAACGGGAAATTGGACTCGATCGGGCTCGAACGCTAACACTTTGACAGTCTCTCGTTGTCATGCTATGTACGCGTGACTCTTCATTGCCGTGCCGGCGGTTATAGCCCGATAAAGAAACGTTTGTCGATAATAACGGAGCCTATATAATTGTGACACATTGCAAAAAGTTATTTATGGAACGGTCGGGGTCATTTGTGCCGTATAGTCAGTTATAAAAAAAGTCGCGACGTGCTTTTTTTGTTTCTATACGTTTCGGAACGCGTTCCGTGTCTAACAGGGGAATTTGTTACGTGGTAATTCTTAGGAGATACATTTTTCTATTGGGTACCACATGCGAAACTCGTCGGAAAAAAGGTGCGACAACCTTCCTGTGATTCGCCGTACCGTTCCTTAGATTAAAACTTTTTAATATTACACAATTGTTAGCGTTTTGTACACATGTACACACAAGGCCGCAGGTATAATTGGCGCCATTATAACTCTACTATTGCAATTACACCTGCGATTTTCAACTTTATGCGTCACACGAAAAGAAAGAATTAACTCCAGCTAAAAACGTAACAGCTAAAAACTAAGTCTGGTAATTACATTTTAGTTGTATCATATGGATAACTAGTTTTTAGCCGTGAGAGCTAATTCTTTTTCCCGTGTATATGTAAGGCTGAACATTATGTAACTGTCTAAAGAGTAGTACAGCCTATATGGTACAGCAGACCTCACTAATAGTGTCCCATTTTTTACGCAGTAAAAAATGCTCTGTTAAATTCAACACATTTCGCATATCCCAAGCGGTCCACGCAGATTTTTGTGTTAATTTAATACAAGGTGAACATGTTGAAAAGCAACACAAATATTGTGTCAAGAATTTGCACAAGATTCATATCCCTAATATGTTAATTCACCGAAGTAATTATGTTATTTTAACACCTACATATATTGAATATCGAGGCTCAACACAAAATATTGAGGTAACATTAACACAATACGTTACAATAATACACGAGCACGTTAAAAATTTAACAGAAAAACCTTAACAAGGACTAATGTTAACACACATATAAAATGTTTTTTACCGTGTACGTACAGTAATATAGAACATTTCCAATTAGATGTGTTATTTTTAAATATTTGTTCATCATAACTGCTGCTTCGGAGAATCGTTGCCGATTCACCGAATTATCAACAGTCATGATGCACGAATCACACTCCCGATTGGAAATTTTCGACGTCGCTAAAGCCTAAAGCCTAAGCCTAGAGCCTAAAGAATGGGACCGAATTAACGGAGTCTACTGTGCACTTACTTACAAAAATGTTGTAGCAACATTTTTTCACAAGTTTCGAAACGCACCTCGTGTCCGACAGGAGCATTTTTCCTCAGTGATTCTCGGGGAGTGGATTTTCCTATCGGACGCAAGTTGCATTGTGGAACGCATCGAGAAAAAGTGTCGCGATCTTTTTGTGACTAATCATACAAGGACGTTCAGATAGGCTCCGGGCGAGATATCGAAGTCTGTCGGTGGCGGGCGAGGGAAGTCGCCGACGATAAGCGCGACTGGCGATCGAAGTGTTAACGCCGCGACTCTTGTAATCGTCGTTGCTGCGAAGGGCACCCCCCACGTCGCGTTCTCGTGCACGCTTATCTGCTTTCCCGGCTAGACGGCACGTTCGTGTCACTTTCAGCGGCGGCAGACGACCGGTCGGCGGTGGTCTCGGGCTACTTGGACGCTCCCCATCTTCTCCTCCATCGGTCTTTCGCGCCTGTCGCGAGCCCGCTTTTTATTAACGGCTAACGACCGTCGGCGGGAGTGCTCCGTGCGGTTTTGTAACTAAATACCCGTAAGCCCCGCAAAGTGCCTCTATAAACGGAGCACGGACATTACGCCCGGCGGATCGTCGCGCCCTTTAATGCGTTGGGCCAATATTTCCGGACAACTCCGCCACGAAACTTTCCTCCAATCCGCGCTGCTGGCTAGGACTAGGATTATATCGATTCCGCGGAAAGAAACGTCGAGCTCCTCTCGCTCTCGTGAAGCAGGAGGAGGCGGGAGAGGAGGAGAGGCGACGGTGAGCAAACGCGGATGAGAAAACGTCGCGCGTCCAAATTACCGTTTGTTACTTGTATTTGCATGAGTCATTTACATGAGAGCTTTCGGTCGGAGAGATGCCGGAGCCGTTTCCAGGCCGGAGGAAGAGGAGGAGGAGGAGGGAGAGTTATTAATTTAGGTTCAGCTGTGTCTGTACGGCTGGTTAAACATCGCCGAGATGGAGATACGTTCGTCGTTTCCCCGCGTCGCGATATAAAGCCGGTCGGATGCATGCGCTTAGAAAAATACTGAAATTAGCGAGGGCCAGGGGGGGGGGGGGGNGAGAGAAGGAAGGTTCATGATCGCAGACGATGGAAATTCTTATTTATATACCGGGGGGCGAGAATAACGGAATGCTCCATGGATTTATCGCGACGTAATCCTTTATGCAAAACGGCGCGACGTAAATAGTTTCAGGCGGAGAATAGGAGCGAATCTACCTCTCCCGACCGTTCGCCCGCCCCCCGAAAGGGTGAACGATCGTTTGAATATATATCGGCGCGCGCGGAAATTTCCCGGGGTGTTCTCGCGCGCGCTCACTTCGAAACGATGAAATTCGCCCGAAAACGCGTAAGTTCTGTTTCTCGCGTGTGTGAGATCGATCCCATTTCTCGTGAATGAGAAAATTTGGTCGGCACCGCGCGCGCACAGAGAGAGAGAGAGAGAGGCGATGACGGCACGGCTGCGGGGCGCGGGATGGGGCTGTTGAAGGGGGCGGGCGAGAGGGGCAAGGGCGGAACAACGTGGGAAGGATTCTATCCGCGATCGATAGAGGATTCCGGCGGCCGGCCGTGGGATTCGCCGAATAATTTCGAATCCGCCGCCGCTACCGTCGCCGCGGACGAGAGAGGCGAGCAGGTTATTATAAGAAATTATTCCTCGCAGGCTCGCATTATGCTCGCGCTTGCTTTCATTACGCGGGCTTCCGCGTAATGACGGTGTCGGTCTGATAACCGATGTCGCTCCCGCCGTCGACGACGAGAGTTGTGTGTGCAGCGGCAGCTGCACGTCGGTGAAGCCCGGCGGTCGACGAGCGAGGGAGCTCACCGTGGGCTCTTCTCTCTCTCTCTCTCTCGCACGTCCCGAGATCATTTGATCTAATTAAAAGATGAGGCTTCCTTACAATGTCCACAGAGAGCACGGGCTGAGAAAATATAATCTTCAATTAACGTAATGTATCTTTTTATCAGTCTCTTTTTGCGCCGAGCGTAGCGTAAAATGAGAGAAGAGAGAGAGAGAGAGAGAGAGAGGGTGTGTGTTATTCATTACGCGTCTTGGGATTGATTTCCCTAAAGTACCTTAATATGTAATGTAAGAATTATTCTTGAAAAAATAACTCAGCAAGCATCAACTAACAGTAACGTAACATCAATGTTATAATTTCCCACTTGATGTAAATCAAAATAACGCGCGTATTATGTAACAATTACGTTCTTGAATTGGAAATTATAACATTGATGTTACGGTACTGTTGGTTGGTATTTGCTGGGAATATGTATTACTATCATAAGATGGGAGTTAAGTAAATTAAATTAACTAAGACATAATAAGATTGAAAAAGCAATGCGAAAAGGAAGACAGATTGAACCTAATTAATTGCGCGGTGAGTTCGTAAGTAGTCACAGACTAGTCTAAAATAAGTCTGAAAGTCTCAGTCTAAAACTAAAATAACCAATAGAGAGAGAGAGAGAGAGAAAGAAAGAAAGAGAGAGAGAAAGAGAGAGAGAGAGAGAGGCGAAGGCCGCTACGTTCTTTACGTAAAGGCGCGATTCCGATAGATAAATTATTAATTTCCGTTCCCGTATATCACCATACCGTATATGTGTGATATATAAATATCGTAGTAGGTGGTGATGGCGATGACGGTAGTGATGTATTTACGTGTGCGTGTGTGTGTGTGTGTATGGTGCATTTAACAAAAATGAGTCACGGAAGAACAGTTCATGCGGAATACCGAGTTAAAATAGATCATCGGGCTGAGCTTTAAGAGATCGATAAGCTATAAAATATTATTGCGCGTGTGACGTGGGTCCCCTTTAAGCGCTCGTTCTTCCAGATATGCAGCCTTGCTCCTTCCTCCTATTCGGGAAGCACTGTCTGCCGGGCGTAATCGATGGGGTATGCATCGCGGGCGATATTCCGCTTCTCACGACATGACACGGCAGAAACTCACCATCGACTTTCATTTCCTCTTTTCCCCGGGGGGAGGAGGAGGGCAGACGGAGAACGAATCGCGCGAGATTCGGATCCATACGCGACTCTCCCCGCGTCTCCTGGCCGGCCACTACACTAATAACCCCGCCGAGATCGTTCGCTCTGATAAGCCTGCAAGCCCGGAGTCGCGAGCCCTGGTCTGGTTGGGGTGGCCCATCGCGTTTTAACGACAATCAATCTCTATACCACAGACACACGCAGACACATACACGCACGAGTTCACCGCCGGCAGATGCCAACGGCGCGATAAAGTGTAATACAATTAACCGACCGGAGCTGGTCTCCTTTCTATTTTTCCCCAGGAATCTGCTCGGGTCTGCGCGAGGTACGCATCCAGATACCGACGGCCGTGAAGAAGGGTGACTCGGCGATACTGAATTGTTGGTACGACACCGAGGGCGACCCGTTGTACGCCGTCAAGTGGTACAAAGGGGGCCGAGAGTTTTATCGTTATGCCCCGAACGAGAATCCGGCCGTCAAGACTTTCCCCATCGGAAATCTGACGGTGAAGGTGAGCTTTTTTCCCCCGCCTGCCTTATATATTTACGTACCTACCTATCTACCCTCTCGCACCGGTCCCTCGCAGCCGGTCGCAACTGTGTCTGACTGACGAACTTACAACCCCCTCCGGTCGGTCCCGCGAAATCTCGAGATCCTTCCGATCCTTCCGCGTCCCGGCGGGACAGCCGGAGTAAAAAAAAAAGCGATGTCAAAAGAGAGAGCGAGAACGAGCGGGAACGAGCGGAAACGAGCGAGCGAGCGCGAGAGAGGAAGAGGGAGAGTGGGGAAAGGGGGGAGAGGGAACGCAGGGGCGAGGATTTATTGCGGTTGAGAAGTTGCGAATGGAACGATAACACCCGAACGCGCTGTAACGTTCCTGGCTGTACCGCGGGGGCGCCGGTACAAACCGGCTGATCGAAGTTTTTGAATTCGAGCTGTCTGCCTGCGTGAGGGTAACTGATGGCCCTCGTCGAGTGTATCGCGTGTGTATAGGTGTGTACGTGTGCGTGTTACTCGCGTTTGTGCTCTCTCTCTCTCTCTCTCTCTCTCTCTTTTCTCCGCTGCCGCTTCGTTAAATTTTCTTTTTCGGCTGGAATTTTTCGACCGCGTTCACACAGTTGTGTCCCATTAGTCCCACTGAAATCTCATGGTCGACCAATCATTAATAGCACCGCGCGGAGACGGATTTAAAATTCGCGTTTCGGTTACGACGGCCGCGATTACGATCTAACGAGATCGTATCGAGGCACTCGTTTAACGAACGTCTACGTAGTGAGCGACCCCATCACGCTCTGCAAACAGACCGCGTTTGATTACAGCGCTCGCGCGCACACGTGTTTTATCGTCTTTCCGCGCGTCGCGTCATTTTTGCGATCGTCAACGTCGCCGTGGACGTTTATTTTTCCCTCGCCTGAAACGCGCGATGAACGACCCCGGCGAACTCTCGACGTAGTGGAAATCTTGCGGCGATAATTGTTGCTTCCAACGACCATTGCGATCGCGAACTGTTCCCGTCCGGTCCCGTGCGGTCGACGAAATCGAAAGGAGGAGAACAACCGTGGCGCGGATATTTAACGCGCGTGCGAAAACGCGAGGAAACGCGAGACGGTGAGAGCACGGACGTAAACGAAGATTGATATCCGATATCGAGTCGATGTTTCTCGCGCGATTGACGGTCATTAGTAAATTGAACGGTGTGGATACCGCGGCGCGTTCGTCTCTCGCGTTACGTAGCGCGTCTGAGGATTTTCGACTTAATTAAGGTAGTTGGTCCGCGGACCGCCGGATTTCCAGTGACGATATTAAAGAGCCCCTTTAAAAGTTTATTATTTACTGAAAAAAAAAAATTCTTCCCCGCAGCTTTATTTAACTCTGTAAGTAATCAATGTTAACTTTGTGCGCGAAATTAAGACAAATATATACACGATATTACAAACGGAGATATTATATATCTTTTATTTTTCTTATTAATACGTTATTTATACGTCAGTTGGATTATTAATAGAGGTGCATAATAGAAAGTGGTATATGAATATTTAAATATGTATATGTACACATGTACCTCGCGGGTATTGTTATTACGAATTTTTAATTTTCTATGACTCTATTTTCGGAACAAGATAATCAATAATTCTGAAAGAACGGTGGACAAAATAAGCCGATTTTGTCCCCCGCTGTGGCAAATAAAAAGAGCATGTTTTTTTTATAGTTTTTGAGCTGTTGAATCTGATTTTGACCTTTAAAACTTTTAATTTTTCAGGAAAATAATGAAATCAACACGTGAAGCTAATAAATATATATGAGTAGGTATTATGAAAACGGTATATTAATAAAAGTGTAAAACTATAACAAAATAAAGAATATTAAGTGAAAGTTAACCAATATGTGAATGACATAAATTAATAAATAAAGCAGACCTTACATGGTCAAAACGGATCTTAAAAAGCAGTGGTTAAAAATTTTTTATCTAAATCTTACAATTTCTAATAGCAAAATATTTTTAAGAATGGAAATCTATATATTATACATAGAAGAATATATATATAAGGAAAAAAATAAAACACTGAGAAAAAAATAGATGGAACAATTATTTTTGCTCAGAATCTCGTTCACTATTATGCTTCATATGCTGATTTTAATATTTTCTCGACGAGTTAACATTTTTTGAAGGTGCTGAATCAGATTCAGATTCAGCAGCTCAAAACTATTAAAAAATCACATCGTTTTTACTTGCCACTCCAGGGCAATTTTACCATCGTCCATTTTACCATCGTCCTTTCGCATAATGTCTCCGCGTTAGTTCTTAATATCAGCAGTTTTTTTTTATTAAAATCCACCATGTGGTTTAGAAAAAAATTAAAAATAAAAGTTAAAAGTTGGATATTAACTTCAAAGAGCGCACATAAGAAATGTTATTTTTAATTGCGAATCATATCAGCTTCCGAATTGTCAATCCTTTTCTAATTTTGCTGACGTAGATAGTATTATATTTTCATCAGTATGCAGCTAAAATTTGAAAGGATTCCCAGGGAAATGGTTTGACAGACCTAACTACCTTAATAATCACAAGGACGACGACGAGGGGAACGAGGTTGCCTCGTCGAGAGATGTAGCATTCTAATGAATTACTGTTGTGTCGCAGAAAACCGAGAGCAACGCGACGCAAGTCGTGCTGACGAAGTTGGAATTGGAGGCGGCGGGCGAGTACAGCTGCGAGGTATCAGCCGATGCACCTTCCTTCCACACGGCTTTAGTTTACGCGACGATGAACGTCGTCGGTAAGTGTGTGGGTGTACATGTGCACGTGTCTTCCTTATGTGTGTGTCTCTTCCTCTCCCCGCTTATTCGCGTTATAGCGCGCGCGGTCCTCGGTGTCCTCGCGCCGTACATTAATAACTTTGGCTGCTGTCATCGACTGCGTAAAAACACGTTTAGAGAGTTATTACCCTGAACGAGATTTAACGTGAGCGCGCTTTAACGGTGCACGTATCTCCTCGTAACATCGAGCCGTGATAAGGTAACAATAAGCTAGTTAAATCGTGCTTCGGCTCCATTCGTCGAACGAAGCTTTCGCTTTTGACAATAATTCAGGACCGACGACGCGGACACCGGGGGGATAGATTGCTCTGCGAGCGAGGTAAAAAAAGGGGAGTGCATCGTAAGCGATACTTGTTTCTCGAAATTGGCAGGGAATCCTGTTGAGTAATAATTTAATGGCGCAAATTGCCTGTCGCTGCTCCGAGGTTTCGCTAAAATATCGCGTTCGATAAATAAATTTTGCGTTTACATCGCGTTTCCCGGGGGACTCCTTCCGGATATATAATGTAATCAATTCCGATATTACACGCGGGCACTTCCTTCCGACAGAATTAAATATAGAATTAAATAGGTTTTTTAATTGCTCCGCGTCTCTCGCGCATCGTAACCGGTTTTGCTTGCGAACCAAGCAGAGAAAGAGAGAGAAAGAAAGAGAAAACGAGAGAGAGAGAGAGAGAGAGATATACATCGAGTTTGCGCGGAGAGTACATTCGGATACGGACGCGTCTTCCGAAAGAACGGATTATTCAATTCTCGCATCTCGCAGCTCGCGCCGGAACAACGGACATTTTTATTCGTTCGCGTTCGCCGTCGTAAAGGCGCGACGGAGCGCGCGAATTTACGTCCTCCGTAAAAAGTGGAAAAGTAATATTTCGCGCGAGGAGGTATATGGCGCGCGGTGACGCGCGGCTTGTAACAACGAGCGTAGGTGCGAGAATCGCGTACCTGTACGCGTACATAAGCGCGCGTGTGCGTGCGTGTGTGTGCGAGGCGATTCGCCGGATGCCGATGGCGGAGAACGGCCGCGAGCACGCGAATCGCGTCTCTGTCCGCCGTAAGGAGGGTGTTTTTCGTACGACCGACGCGCGAGAGAGAACGTACGCTCGCCGTCGGCGTGCATATCGACCAACCGCTGCCGAAACTTTCGGCCGTGCCTGGCTTTAGCGAACGGCGGGTCAAACCTGGCCGACGGACGAACTCGGCTGCACGCAAGCTCCGCAATGTTCGGCAACACACACGTACACAGGATGCCCCGGACTTGGCGGATGATCACTCACGGATGTAGACTCTCGGGTGAACTTCGTGTCAATGATTTCATTCGCTATAGTTATACAAGAAGGATTCAACTTACAAAATTACTAGTTGTGCCATTTCTTTACTAGTTGCGTCTTCTTCACTCATTCTTAACCCTTCGTGTGTGATTTGGGAAAACATTCGAATTGACTGTAGAATTGAATTGAATTAAGAGCGAGGCTTGAAATTTCTATTTAAGGAAATAGGTGGTAAAGAGAATCCGTACTTGTGTGTGCGGCGATTTACTGAGAAATTGCGAGCACATAAAGTCACGAGTGTTTCTGAAATAACTCACGAATATCATATGACATTAACGAAAAGTAATGTAATAGATTTTCTTTTTCTGTAAGTATGAGTACTTTTTCTCATGATAGAACGTATTTATGAAGGTAATTGATTTATTAATATAAGAATTTAATTTTTCATTTCTTAAAGTAATGTTATTTTACTATTGATTTGCCGTTAGCTTATTTGCATTTTTAATTTATCATTATTATTTTATATTTATTTCTTTCAAAATAAAGTATTTTTTGGATAAAAGTTAACTTTTAAATTCATTAATTTTTTTTAATACTGCTTTGTTTCAGTGCTCGAAAAGTAAATAATTTTCATTTGTCCAAATAATTGTGTTTTTTTTTTTTTCACTAGGCATAGCTAAACCATTTTTCTTTGTGAAGTATCCATCCTTCAAGAATGTCAATCTACAGGGATTTTGTTTCTGTTCAACGCGTTCAAAAGTTACGAATTTTTCCTGCGAGTAGAAAAATCGTATGTTTTTCTCCGTTTTTTCCTCAAAGAAAAATAAAGTTATAAGCATTGCAGGTTAAACAACGCTTTTAACTGAAAGTACAGACCTGAAATAATGCCATAGCATTTTTTGCGAATTTTTGATATATTTGACTTATACATAGCGAGAAAAGTGGTTCTACTTACAAACGATCCACGATTCACATGGCGTCAGCGAAAAGCAGCGAATCATATGGAGAGTTAAGGGTCAAGCTTGTCAGTAAATACCTTTAAAGAGAAGAAAATGGACCATGCTCGACTTCTTGAACGAATGTGAAGAATCTCAGAGTGCTACTTATACTTTTTAGATTACATATCAAACTTTCATCTTCATTTTAGTTAACGTATTCTATGTGAGTTAGAATCTTCTTGCATAATTATGGCCAATTTTACAATTAAAGACGAAAAGAAGAACAAAGAAATTTTCTCATTTCCTGGGACGTTGAACGTCAGAAATGTGACTAGATAATGAATTATTAATCTTCATTTCACATCTAACGGTACTTATTTTAATGCTTTACCGGAAGCATATTAATAAGCTCCATTTCACTTGCGAGCGGTGAACGAAGTGTTAATAGATTTGTAACTATGATAATTTCATGAGAGATTAATTTATCATTTAATATCGACGAACTAAGTGTCGCGAAGAAGATAATAGTTTCTATCGATATTTCCGCTGAGAAAGATGAAATCTACTCGAAGACTACGCGCGGTGGATATTTTTGACGCTTCTCGCGATAATTTCGCGATTCCATTTGTACCTTGCTAATTTTGAAACACCAAACCGGGTACAATAAATATATCAATACAACTGAAAAACACAAAACAAGAACGTGAAGTGAAAATAGCTTAGAGAAATTAGATTACAATCGATTTTACGGTAAACGAAAAATTATATCGTCTGCCTGCAATTTCTTTTTTTTTTTTCGATTCGCTCGAATTAAAGTCGAAGTCGCGTTTTTCCTCGATGTATCTTCTATTTCAAGACTAAACGATGCTTTGGAGAAACGATTGTTACACCATCGGATGCGAGACAATTTAAGTTTTCAAACGCACTTTGTCCAACGTAGCTACAACTTTTCAAAGTGGTGATATCGATGACTGGCGAATCTCTTTGATGGGGACTGCGGCTCGCGATAATGTTGCGTTTCCTTTTAGCGAGATACTTCGCCGCTCGGAAAAGCTCGAAGTGTGAAGTCCGTAACGCGAGCGCACTACTCTGGTGTTACGCGCGATTCCTTCGTTCACCGACAAAAGACCGCGCGTCCCTTAATCGAAATTTTCGTTTTATATCTTAAACTCTTAGTTCTGCAACACAATAGAAGCTAAGATAGCAAAATAGATTTAAGTTCAATTCTAATAATATCCTTTATAATTTATTCCTATTTTGATCCTGCTGATGTCTTAGATTTCCGTTTTCGTTGTTTTAGCGTCGAAATAGGTTGTTGAATGTAGCGTTAAACCTGTACGCGGAAAATAAAGTTTGGTTGGCATTAATCAGAAAGAGAGGGAACAAGCAGATGCATTTCAGTTGAAGGAAATAGAATTTCTGCTTGTAAGAACCAAATCTGGGTCATAAAAACCAGAAATTCTGTTTCCTTCAACCAGAACACATCTGATTGTTCCCTTTCTGATTAATACAATCAGATTTTTTTCCATGCAGAATTAAAGTTTCAAGAGAGGAGTTAACAGGGGTCAGTATCGTCAAAGTAGGTTTTCGTTGGTCTACAGATCATCTAATTAGGTACAAACTATAACCCCTCGACTGGTAAGTTGAATTTCGCAAAAGTCACTTAAGCTGGCAAAAGGTGGATTTTCAAAACTGAAACAAAGTGGATAACACTTCGTTTTGGTCATTTATATCAGTTTGAAGATTTGCCGTTTCAAATTTTTAATTTTTTAAATTCACCATTGAAAATAGCAATCTCCAAAACTGGTATGTATTTCAAAATACACCTCGAAATTTTTGTAAAACTTTTATATTTTTTTCCAATTTTAGGTCGGCTATATTACATCAACTATGTTGAAGTTTGAATCTCGAAGTTTACCATTGAATAGAGCGATCCTTTGAATATCCAATTTAAAAAATTTAAAAATATTCCAGAAAATATTGATCCACCAGAAATATCAAAACGTTGTATCGCGTTTCGCGCCAGGGATTGAAAACGTCAAAGCAGCATCGAATTTTGATTCGGGTCGACTTGAAAAACTTCGAGCGGCCGTGTCTCGGCGAAAAATTGACGCGCGATTGTGAAACGAGAACGTTTCTTCTCGTTATCGCGCACACTATGCGTTCGCTATGCTGCTATTCGACGAGCGTGCTCGACACACGTTTCGCATCTACAATTACTCCACGCGTAAACGCGAAGCATCGTTGGTACGGAGTCGCTGAAATTACTTACGAAATTACGAAACACTTAGACGAGATAACAGAGAGAGCATCGGGCGTTTTCATGCGAGTGAAGCACGAAGTTTCGCGGCGCACTTTGTTCGGCAAATTTCGCTGCGCCAAAAAATGCTTGCACCACGCATCCGCCGATACGCGCGCGTGATTTCGAGTGTCGGCCTCGAGTTATTCCATTCGATCACTGCGATTCGATAGTGAGCTATTACTGGCTGCCGGTGCGAGGTCGATATCGAAAATCTGCTAGCGGTTCCGGGGCACAGAGGACCGCTCGTAAAACACTCTCTGCACGGGTCGCTACACCCGGGACACCCTATGTACGCGGAGACTCTCTTACCTTTGCAGAATTGCCCTCCCAGATGCCGTCGATACAGGGGCTGAAGAGGAAATACCGTGTCGACGATCCGCTGCGTTTGAACTGCACATCCGGCAGGAGCAAACCCGCCGCGAATCTCACTTGGTACATCAACGATCGACAGGTATGCCCTAACTACTAATGATGGTAATGCGCGTGGTTAGACGGGGGGATGGAAAGGAGCGGGCACGGGAGGATCGGATGCCTCTATTTAGTTTACCTTAGCTTTGATCCATTATCCCTGATCAAACGTCGGAGACAAGGGAGCTTATGGGATACGTTCCTCTCCCTCCTCCTCCTTCTCGAAATGTTCCGAAGTTCGCGAGGAGCGACGCGCTCGCATTGTGGAAAATCGACGTAAATCAGCGTCATTTAGCGTCGCTAATGTACCCGCGTGTTTTTCCCGTGGATTTCACTCGAGACGGATCGAGAAGCGGCGTAATAACTTGTACGTCCGAGAATTTTAATATCTCTCTAGATATATATATCGTGATACTACCGTTTCCCTCTCCTCCTAATTAAAAAGCGCTTTAATTTAAATGTTAAAGATAACATTCTCCGAGAGCCGCTCGCTCCGCCGGAATTAGGCGTTTTTAGAGCTTCAGATAAATATTAAAATAGCCCCCGTAATCACCTTACATTAACGCACTCGTGCGCGAATTATCTCGCGTGCTGGACGCGGGCGAGCGGTTCTTGGCAAAGGGGAAACGGGAAAAATAGAGGGGTTTCTGAAGATTTATCTAGCGGGCAACGTAACGTTTAGCAACAACAACACACAAAGCGGCGCGAAAATAGTTTTTCATCCTTACCCCATGTGTGCGTGTGTAACATCGGTATTTATTTTATCTCTTAACACAGAGCCGTCTAACCAGGCGCTCGCGACCACCTTCTCGCGTTCGATCCGCCGTTCTCGTTTTCGCTCGCTCGTTCGCTCGACACTTCTGTTTTATAACAATCCCCTGTACGGGGCTCATCCCGCTCGCTCTCAAATCGGTTAACGAGGCTCGATCGATTTAATCCGACGCGATTCCGTCTCTACCGCCGCATCCCGCTGCAGCCCCCCCGCGAGAGCAAAAGCTTAACGGATCACGTGTGTTTCTCTTTTTCTCGCCGGCAGCCACTGAAGTCGTACGTCCGCACGTACAGCCCGCTCGACACGAACGAGTCGGAGTGGCAGGTCTCCCAGATCGGCCTCCAGTTCCTGGTTACGCACGATCACTTCACGAGCGGCAAGCTGAAGATACGCTGCAGCGCTTCGATATACGACATTTATTGGCAGAGCACGGAGGTCAGCACCGAGGAGGACCGGCCACGGGTGATACACTACGAGCCGGCCGCCACTATCGTCGGCATCAACTACCTGCAGCCGCCGCCGAATTTCCAGACCGGCCAGAAGAAGCCGGACGGACAAGTCGGGGTGAAAGGTAAAAGCTCCCTCTTCCTCGTCTCACCTCTTTCTCTCTCTTATTTTCCTTCTTCTCCTCGCTCGTTGGATTAGACGCTTTTGCCAGTCTCGTTGGGTATTTTCGAGGAGAGGCGGTAAATATCCTCCGTAAATACGCTCGCAATCCTCGGCTGTTTGTCGAAATTCGAGACATTCTCGGGAGCCGAGAGCGTTGGACGAACTCTGCGAACGAACTGGCCGGTCGGCTTGATTTGCTTATAGAAGAAGCCTTTTCTTTCTCCTCTGTTTTTTCTGCCGAGCTAAACGACGCCGGACGACTTGACGACGGGCTCTTTGAGCACGTTTGCATTAAAACAGCCCCGCACGGTCATTCACAGAGTCGACGTCGTCGTTGAGCCGCGATCTGAATTCCTCCTGTCGAGCGACTCGATCGGAAGAGAGAAAGAGAGAGAGAGAGAGGGGCGAAAGAGAAAAAAGAGAAAAGAGGAAAAGAATATAAAAGGGAAGAAAGAGAGACGAACGAAAAAGTGAGAGAGATCGTATTGTCAGACCGTTCTCGCTTATTGATTTTTCAGTGCTGGGGTCCTCCGCGATGAGCCCGCGGCCTTCGTCAGCGGGGTTCGCGTTGGAATTGTTTGCGCTTCTTCTAATCGCCATTCGTTAAGCATAAATTCATCGTTCGAGCGCGCTTTGGAACACTTTGCGTATGTCGACGTGTGCTTGTGAGAGAGAGGGCTCGAGGCGCTTTGTGCGATGATGACGTTTCCTCAACGGGATCCTCGGGTCGCCGACCACCATCACCGTCGCCGCCATCACTATCGAGTCGGCAGCAGCGATACACAATACCGGGAGAGCGAATACAGACCTCCTCGGCCGCGCACGTCGAGGCAACCTGAAAGGCGCGACGCCGGCTTCGAATGGAAGTGAGACTGAGAGACAGAGGGAGACTGTCGGAGACAGAAGGGAACGAAGGGAGAGAGGGAGGGTTCGGGAAGACTGAGAGGGAAGATCGAGAACGACAAGGCGAGGGCAAAACCCCCGCGAGACATTCCCCTTCGAGACGTTCACTTATCCGATCAACGAATGTCCAAAAGCATTGGCGACGACACTACGGCTGGATACTCGAGATATATATATATATATATGTATGCATATATATATATATATATATAAATACATACATCCGGGAGATATTTTATTATTATTAGACCATGTACTTGCTTCCTTCCAGCGGGATAATGTGTTTGCAATGTGTAGGTATATATATACGTATATATAAATATATAAACATATAAATATATATATATATATATATATAGTACGTTTCGTCGCGCATCGTATGGGAAGAGATAGTTTTTTTTTCGTACTTTTATAACTCAGAAGGACTATAACGCGTAGCATGGATGTACGTGCGTATTCCTCGACAGACAGATCAACATTACATTACTCTCTGTGTGCGAGAACACTGAACATTGCGTATGCGCGAATAACACACATACACACACACACACACACACACATACATACATACATACACGCTCGTGCGCGCGTGCGAGGAATTGTACACTGCCATCGTAACGAACTGTGATGCGTAAAAACGCCCGACACGCGCGAATACGCGCGCAACACAGATACACAAACACAAACACAAGACACAATACCACACTTTCTCTCCATACGAATAACTGATAAGTAAAAGTGTTCGAAAATAAACTGCCCGCCTAAGTATTTTACAGTGTGCGAGAAGATGTACCTGAATCGGATATTCGCGAACTTCTTTTGTGTTGCTACTTAGAGACTATGTAATTGATAAGAGAGAATGACAAAGCGAGCGGGGAAAGAGATGTGCTATATGGAGTTATATGATGTAACAAGAACAACAAGAAACAACTTTGTGTATCTCGATCATTCCATCTTTCGTATTAAAGCGTGACTCATTTATTAACTGAGGCTGATTTAATTGATGTACAGTACACGACTTATGGAATTTATTATAAATTCATTTAACTAAATCGTGTCGTTGCGTTCTCCCCCTCCTCCGGATGACCCCCCCGTCGCTTCTTTTATCCCCGCGTATTTCCGCGTGACCGCGCTTTTAAATTGTATTGTAATATTTTCTTCGTTACCATGCGGAGCGTTATCGCCGTCGATGTGTACTCTGCTCGTCAAATATTAGCCGATGACATCATAAATTATATCCCTCCGCGGTTTATGTTTATCGATATTCGATATCAGCTTTTATGCCGCATGAAATACATTCCGACCGAGTCTTCTTGATATTTTTCGCTGTCAAATATATTCCGGCATGAATGTAAAAATATAAATGTACGAGTGTATGCGATCCGTATTAATGTAATAAACGTAAGACACGAACGAGAGAAAGAGATAGAGAGAGAGAGAGAGAGGAGAGCGGACGTAAAACAATTATTTCGGTGTTGCCAGAAAGCGGTGCTCTATTGTTGTCCGGTTGTTTCATTACATGTTGCGTCGACGATGTAATGTTGTTCTCCGCGTTAAAATATCTATTCATTTTAAACGATCCAGAGATCCAAATGTCGAAACAATGGAGTCGCGTATAAATAATGCACGGGTGTAAAGGAGAGAGAGCCGCCGCCACCACTGGACAGCGCTCGTGCGCGCGCCGCAAATGTTAACTAAAATATCGCCCGACAAAAGCGCACGTTAACTCGCCGGCGGATCGAGGAGCGCCGCTTTGCGGATTATTACGTTTGTTTATACGCGACCGGTGAACGCGGTTAATGTGATAACTCAATTATCGCATGCTGTGATATTTACTCTGTTGCCGTCCGGAGAACGCAATCGCGCGATAACGGCGATACTCGCGCCATTGCGTGTTCGCGATCGAACGCGGAAAATCATCGGATCCGAGACGACGCGAGATGCCGATAATTCCCCCCGTCGTGTTTCCTCCTTCGCTCTCTTCCCTCCCCCCCCCCTTCCCCCGATCTTAGTCCCTTAGATCATCATCGTCGCCATTAGGGCGTTTCGCTAACGCGTCGCGATCGCGGCGTTTCGGAAGGGCGGAAACGCGCTCGCGAGGCGATCTTGAAAATTGATATTTCAATAAAACCTCGCCGGGGCGCGTATCGCGAAATGAGCTCGGCGGATGAATACAGCCAGTCCGCGCGGGATGCATAGTGTGTAAGGCGGACTTCAAAAGCCACCGGTATTTTCTCTTTTATCTCATAAGTATCTCGTTGAATAGTTGAAGTTCTCGCGGAATGAAACAGTAACAATTCGTAAATGTAATTGTTCACTGACCGTAGCGCTGCTCTCACGACGAGCGTGGAAATTGCAGTTCTCAAAGAGCCCGCGAAAATAGAATACCCATCCGTCTGCCCTCTCTCTCTCTCTCCCTCCCCCCCTCTATTTTTCTCTTTCTCTCGATCGTTCGGAGGTTTCCGAATTTTTCGCAATTTTTTGCATCCGCGCGAGACGGGAGAAACAAAGAGAAAAATAGGGAGCGCTTACTCCGCGCGCTAAAAAGATCTCGGCGGTGATCAGTCTCAAAGGGGTGACGACGCGGGGAAGATTCGCAGCGGACAATTTTCCGCGCCGGCGGGAGAACAATTTCCCTCGTAGTCGTCGTATCCTAATTGAGCCTTGGGCGTCGAAGTGGTGCGCAACGTTCGTTTAACGTCGTGTTACGATCCGAGATGGGGCAATCTCGCGCGGAATTTCGCCGAGCTGACGGGGCAGAAAAGACGCGCGGAAAGGACTGCGCGCCGATTCACAACGACAACGACGGTGATGCGATAATTGACAAGAGGAGGTAACGTTTTCTCCTTCGCGTAGAGCTCCCTCGGCTCGAAGATCGCGCCCGATCACCGGATGGAGACGGAGACAGATATAGAAAGAGAACGGAAGAGAGAGAGAGAGAAAGAGGGAGAGAAAGAGACAGAGATCCCACATCGAGTTTTATTCTCGGCTTTATATGGTCCACGAGGCCAGGGGCGGCTGCTGGCTGGCAATCGATGACGCGGCAAGCGATGTAAGCGTGTGAGAGAGAGAGAGAGAGGCGCACGTCAGAGGCACACGGACAACCCCGGGCGCGGTACGTAACGGTATAACGTAGCGCGTATCCGCACACGAATGCGGCCGCGACTCGGTTGCCTGGCGACGGTAAAACCGGAGCGGCGTCACGTCACTCGTATCGGCGACTTGACGAAGGATGAGAGAGAATCCGTAGCGTAGTCCGGGCGATCCAGCGTCCTGCGATCCTTCCGTCGCGGTGGCTCGTGAGCCGAGGGTCGTGCGCGCCGTAGGAACGGGAAGACTCGGGGGATACGCTTCACGATCGCGGAGTACGCACATCCGGCTGGTCGTCCTTGTCGTCCTCGTCGACCACCACCGGCACCAGGAGGTGGTCTTCCCCTCGCGGAGTGCTCTCCCTCGTGCGCGAGTTTAGCCGTCCTTACGTAAGCGCGCGAACGAGCCAGGTCGGCGTCGACGCGGAGTCTATAGGTCAATTGGCACGGTTTCGCGGCCGCGCTGAAATTTCCACGTCCTTCCGTCGGCGGGGTGATTATTCAGCGGGTCGCCGAAGCGCGACTTACCCGTCGTTCCGCGCACGCGAGGAGAGATGCGAGAGCAGCAGCCCCCGCGAGCTCCGTCAACTCCAACTTGAACGCAACTTCAACGCGGATAATATATTCCGCGTTCGGTCCGCCGGGGCGAGTCGTTATCCGCCGGTGTCTATGATAGAGAGACACCAAAACCGCGAGTGCACGCGCAGCCGTGTGTGCGTGGCATCGGCGATCAGCGCCAGGAATCCTCCGCTATATCGCGGGATAGATTTTCCTACGCGTAATTTCCCAGCTTTGACCTCCGACATTAAGCCGGCTGATATATTAGCGCGCGCATCCGCGGAAGACGAGAGAGAGAGAGAGATTTTCCGGCATTTCCGATAAATCGCGATAAATCGCGACGGATGAGCCGATGAGCGACGCGTCGATCAGCGGGCGCAGCGCAAGTTCCCTTGGCGGCGGACCAGCGACGGAAGCGCGGAATATTCGCGACCCGTCGTCCTAGGAATCGCCGAGAACGACGGCGGACCTTGTTGGACCACTGCCCAGGATTCCGCCATGGAGTCGCTCTTGGAGGAGAGTAAGTCTTCTCGGGAATGCATGCCGCGCTCACACCTACCTATACCTGCGAACTCCTACTCCTTCTCCTCCTCCGTCCCTTCCTCCTCCTTCGTCCTCGACTCGTGAGACGAAAACTCGTGAAACGAGGCAACTTGGCGCTGAAAGATTGACGTGGAGGAGCTCTCTTGGCCGGAGAACGGCGCATGCACGATTCGCCGATCTTCCTGAGCGATGAAGAAGCTCTTTCTCTCTCTCTCTCTCTCTCTCTCTGTCTCACTCTCTGCGTTCGAAAAGCTCTCGCTCCCAGAAGACTCGCGTAATCTCTCCGCGATCCTCCTCGGAGTATCATCGCGTTTCCTCCGTGTCGAAAGAGGATCTGAATTTTTTACGAGCTGTTCATCAATCAAGATACACCGCGCGCCGTCGATCCTATTTATTCTATTCCCCGAGGCACGGGACTGCGTCGGGGATTAGAACATGTCGATTGTATTTCCCGCCTTTTTATCTTTAGCGTGCGCACGGAGGAAATTAATCGTTGTTCCGTGAAAAAGGGGGATACTCGCTACCGATTTATCCCCCGAGAGATTACGGGCTGCAACAGCGAGGCACAGCCGAGCGATCGAATCTCCGCGAAGCGACCCATGCGGCGCCGCATGCTGCTCTCGCATGTTTCTTGTTACATTAAGGTAGTCGCATCGCGAAATGCCGTATTTTCAGTGGCGCATCAAGGGGATCACTCATACATTTTGTGTTTACCGAGCAATTGTGTTCTTGTATATTTATTTCATTATCCAAATAATAAGTATTAATTCGAAACGAAGTTGAGGTAGACATATATATATAATATTACAAGTACGAAAATATTATTGCTTCTTATTTTTCTTATTGATGCTATTTTCATGCATTAGTTGATAGAGATTGAAAGTTTTAATATCTTCACTGATTAGGTGGGGCGAATTCTAGTAATTATTTGTGGAATCATTTACTCAGCAGTCTGCCGTTACATACACTGAGAAAAAGATTTCTTCAAATTTAATAAATTTTATCGCATCCAAACCAATTTCATCATTGGCATGCTCCAAAGAAACTAATGTTTCGATTAATAAGTACGATTGTTAGACTCTTCAACGAATATGTATCTTTATCTCAAATAAAAAGATTTTTTTTTAATGAAAGATAATTTTCTCATAAAGAAATTATTTGTTTCATTTGACACATTTATTGTAACCAAATAATATTTTATTTGATTAAAAGATATTATTTCAAATAATAGCGTTCTCTTTGTTAAATAATAGAGTTTTCTTGAATGAGACAATAAAATTTTTACTGAAACAAATTATATTTATTATATTATATTATAAGTATAGTGTTGTTTCTAAAAAACAAATTTTAATCAGATAAATAATACTAAATCTAAAGAAGCCCTTTTTTCTGTGTAGTGGCGCTAACATGCCAATACACAATGGCCGGTCAACAGCTATTTGTTATAACGCATTTTTATTTTTGAATATTTCGAAAATGTTTTCAAAAAATAGCATTTATTTTTAATTGTATATTTTTCCTCATTCGACTGAAACTTGAGCATATTATTACATGAGTGTACGTACATTTGAGTGTTTTGTCCATTATTTAACATTTCATTCGGCTGTATACATTTTGAATTATGCAAAATTAAACAATAATATGACGAGATGAAGTTAATCAACAATTACAGTTAATAACATTTTGCTAATGTGGCGCCCTAAGAGTATTGATAACCGAGTGCTAACGACCTCTTTTTCGAGGTTTTCATATCGAAGTAGTTAAACCAGTATTTTCATATCAAAGTAGTTCAGCACGTCAATATTTACATAAAAAATTCACGGTTATATTCATCATTGTTCCTTCTAACAATTTAATTTAAATATATATATAATTTTATAACGAAATACTGCGTTATTTTAAATAAAACTAATTTTTTATATCTATTTTATATCTATTTTAGAGCCACCTAGTTATTTCCACTAATATTATCCATCCCTGTTTCTCCTCAATGCAATTATAAACCCATTTATGGAATGTCGCCAGATTTTTATAAATAACATCCCAAGCAGTAAATATTTCATAACTCTGGGTCTAAAATCGATTGAACAACATTTTGCCGACGAATATAATCGTTCAGTTTTTAATTT